CACAATAACAACCTCCACATGCTTGTCCACTAAACAGTTGAACTTTAACATCCAATTGTATATGGCACAATTAACTTTTCATGGTGAATTCAACAATTAAATTGAGTCTTCCTAAGTTGAAAATCATAACTCGTCGTTGAAAGCGAATTTATCATGGATTGCTTTTATCAGAGTGGTGTTTGAATTTGTTTGGTTTTCAGAAAGTTAAATTAAGTTGTTTGATTTACATGCAATGCAGTATAATATTGAGTTTAACATACTTGATGTAAACCTGGCAACACATGTTGTTATAATAGTCATGTATATAGTAATATTATAATTACATGAATTATATTTTATATTATAGCGTTTTCCGTATACAGTAAAAAATGTGTAGGCCTATTTACAATACTTTTGAATGAAAAAATGCTGCTTTTTCTGGCAACAATAACGCATATTGATAAACCTTATAACACATTACTTAGCATGTTGTTAAACTAGTAAGGTAACTATATTTGTTTTGGTTAATGAATTATATTATATTTTATAGCGTTATTCTTCAGTAAAAAGATGTATATTTAGGCCTACCTTAATTTTCAATAAAAACAATGCTGTTTTCTGGCAATACAGTACAAAATTAAGTTTTAACTAACTTGAAATGAGCCTGCAACACGTTTCTTAACATGTTGTTAGACTATTTATGTAACTATAGTAACATCATTTTGAAATAAATTTACGTTGATTTCTAGTAAAAAATGATATATTTTTTATTCAAAAAATGCCGTTTTTTCTGGCAATACCGCATCCACGTGTGTAAATTACCCACAACTTTTTTTGATTATTGTTTGGACAACTATTGACTATTAATATGGAAGATGGTGGATATGTATGCACCACCTTGGAAGTTACAGATAGGTTTCTGAGGCATATTTTAAAAAAAAAATATTTTGAGAAAAACCCCCTTTTGTAAATAATGGTATCTTCCAACCATAATTTTTTACACAATTTTTTTGGTGATAAATGGACGGTAATACCTGGTAATTTACATGGATGATCACAAAAATATATATAGTGCATGTTCTTTTTTTTTAATAAGGTCTGAAAGTCGGTGTTTTTTCACTTCTAAAAATGTCCAAAATTGACAAAAACTGTAAAATTTAGATAAAATGGGTCGTTGACACAGGAGTGGCGCCAGGACCTGCCCGACGGAGGGGCTAGAGGCCCCGACGGGGGAACTAGTGGAGCGAATCGAGTCTCATTTGGCTGGGGCCAGGAGGGCCGCCTAGGGCCCCCGGTGGGGCCCTAGGCGGATATTTGATGAATTGTGGCGAATTTTTATTACTTATTTGATAGACATCGAGTTACTATAGTATGACTTCATGTAGGCTATGCTTTCTAATGTTGATCTAATCAGCTTACAAAACCAAAACATTTTGAATAAAGCAAGAAACAAAGAATATGCAATGTAGCCATCTAATTTATTTTTAAATCCTCATTCTTGAAAGTGAAATTCTATATTTTGGAAAATTTTGCATGAAATCTGTCAACCACGTTGTCATGGTCAAGGTTGCTTCACCTATCACAATGTATTCCAACCATCATGAGGCTTTCTAAATGAGCATTTGTCATAACAGAACGCAAATTATTTTTAATTAGTCTCATTGAATTATTATTATTATTATTATTATTATTATTATTATTATTATTATTATTATTATTATTATTGTAGTTGTTGTTGTGATGAAAAGTTAACACAAACGATATGGTGGCTAAACGAATATTACATGTAAATAATTGTTTTTATTTGTTTGTTCCCCGACAAAATTTATCGTCTTCCCCGACAGGGGGGGGGCTATGCTTCCCCGACGGGGGCTATAGCCCCCCAACCCCCTCTGGCGCCACCCCTACGTTGCCATGACAACGAAGGCTAAAAAATTAAACAAATATCATAGATATGCTTTTCACCCAAGTATCTATTCATGGTAAAAATTTGAGAGAAATCCATTTTTTGACGTCTGCCACCAAATCTTTGATTTTTATAGACAACCATTCTTAAATACTAAAGGTAATTTAACTTACCTAATATTTACATTAAAAAAAATAAATAGCTCTTTATTTAAAGATCAAATTTTATCATTAATTTTCCGTGGGTATAATGTAAAGAAGAGTTTTGATGCTTCCTCATAGTTTACGTCTATATTTTCTGTGTATGTTTATTATCGCCATACTGGACCTTAACCATGTTCTCAATCTTCTCATTGCTGAAAAACTACGCTCACACTCTGCTGATGTTATAGGCAATGTACAACCAATCACGCAGCTACAGATAACAATAATGGCAGAGTGCAATGATGCGTAACCAATACACCACATAACACAACTCTACTGGCGCGCGGGCTTCGAGAAATCAAGTTGATTAAAAATGTATACAGTAACTTTATATGGATTGTTTAAAAAAAAGACAAAAAATCTAAATATTAAAAGGAAGGGCCACCAAACATTTTTTAGGCGAAGGATAATTTATTTTGATATTAACTACCTTCTTGTTAGGCGCAGTTTAATTATGCTAGATTAAAAAAAAAATCACATTTAAAGGGCACTTTCTTTAAAAAAAAAAAAAGGGGGGGGGGTCGACCGCACCCATCGACCCCCCACGGTACGCCCTTGAGGCATTGAAAATATTCGAAGCCAAAAAATCACGCTCAACTAGTTAAAAATGAGGGTTGCCAAAGTGCGAGCCAGCGAGTCAACGAGTCATCCAGCGAGACATGCAATTCATGAGAGCCATGAATGTAACTCTTGCGGGACGTGTACCAACAGTGCGAGTCATGCGAGGCACACACAATTCTACGCTAATAAACACTTGTGAAATTTATAAAACAATTACAATAATGATAATAACTACTTTTAACATAATTTTTTTTACTATGACTATGTAATTGGCTTTGTAATATTCATTTCACTCACACTGCCCATTCGCCCCATGCATGGAGGGGGGGACCTTATTTATTTTTCACAAAATAAACATAACTAGCAAAGACAATTAAAAAACATGAAACCAAACACAATTAAAAGATTAAACGTCCTAATCTGAAATGCATAAAAGACTAATAATAATTAATTTATGGGCTAACATCCTGTCTGTGATCCATCATGTTTTAAATAACAATTAATAATTTCAAGTATTTCTTCAAATAAATGCCCTGCTTTGAACAAACGCCCCTCGAATAAACGCCCCCTCCAAAAATAAAGGCCATTAGGAATGAACGCTTACGACGTTTAATTTTTCCTTCGAATTGTCTCTAGTTACTATGGACGGATGAAATGAAAGCAACATCATTTTCAACATTGAATTAATTATCAATGTTTTACCCTAGTGGAATTAAATTAACTGCTAAAGGGATTTATAAGCCATACAAAAACACTTTTTAACATCTATGTGAACTATATTTACCAGTAAACACTGGCTCCTCAAAAACCACCTGAACAATAATGCCCCTGTGTGCTGGGTATTATAATTATTGTATTATTATTATATAAATTTTTCTTAATTATCTGACTGTAAATGCCAAATAATATAAAAACAAAGGTATGATTAGCAATCAAATTATACAATCAATGCATTCAGGGTGTGGTGAAATGATGGGAGACGATGATTGAGCTATGTGTGGCAAATTTTAAAGGAGTCTGTACAGTAGTTCAGTGGTCAGGACCGCCAAGAGAGGAAACTGTAACAGGGGCAAATGTGGGTGTGGGCCCCCAGTTACGAGCGCGACGCGTGAGAAAGATTGCAACATTTTTTTTTTAGGGGCTCTGTCAACCTTGAGGGGCCCATTATTAGGGACACATGCCATTATTGACGGCCCATGATAGTAATTAATATTTTTGAAAAAAATATGGGGAAAAAATGCTACCTGCAATTTCTATAGGCCCCTAGTAAGCTTCACCCCGGGGATCTCCCCCCTGCCCACCCTCTCGGTGGCCGGTTGTGGTTATGGTAATCCTCAAAAGTATAGAATAAACCCATTTAGTATTCTATTCATTTATTTTTTCATTTATTTTTAAGTCTAAGAACAATATTAACATCAATCGAACGTGATTTAACATGCAGGTGGGTACGATTCGTCTTTCAGAATTCAACCCCCCACCCCCTGTTCGTCGGTCGCCCTCTCCTATTCCTGTTGGTTTCGAGGTTGGCAAGGCCTCGTTGCGACTCCTAATATTAGACTCAGCTAGGGTTACTCACTGCGTGCGGCGGCGACGCGACGGCAATGAGACGAAGAACGCACGCGAAGACGCGGACCCAACGGATCGTCTTTTTAATGAGGATCCGTTCAGATTGCCACTGACAATCAGCAGACGGCGTTGCGTCGTTTATCGCTCGCCGGAAGCAAATGTGGATTCGTCGTGCTACGACGCAGTGAGTGTCCGGCTTTAGTCACTTTTTGATTGAAGGAAATGGTTTGATTTTATTATTAGGCTACTCGATGAGAAGGTCATATGAACATTATATTTTATATTAAAATATTGTCGTTATCAAACTTACGGATCTAAAAGACATGCGAAGCGCTTTTGTGCCGCATCCATATTTTGTTTATATTATTATTAATGTAATGTATTATATATTAATGTACTTCACCAGCGAAGGCAAAACGTCGTCCTCCTCCTTCTGCAACCTGTCACAATGCTTCAATTATACCATTACTACCGCGGTGGAATAGTCCCCTAGAAATTTACGAATGTAATTAACTGTTTATGTAATGATAAATAAATACAATAGTACGTGTTAATAAAAAAAAATTACAGAGATACAAAAAAATATTAAAAATGTATGGCTCGCATGGCTCGCATGACTCGCATGACTCGCTGGCTCGCACTTTGTCACGACCCCAATGAAGTCTTCTGGTAGGGAACTGCAATCTACATAAAGCCAGGCACTCACTGCGATCGACGGTAGTCGGCCCACGTGGTTCTATAGAGAACGCAACGCCACGACGCGCGCGCGCAACGAATGGTTTTTAATGAAGTACCACAAGAAGTTCGAGAAGCTAACTCGTGGTCATACGGTGGTGCCGTACAAAGAGCTAATTTGCACTGATGGAATCCTTAATCGTTCAAAAGCATCCTGCAAAGAACATACCAGCAAAATGCTGGAATTATTTTGCTTCACCTGTCACGAATTTATTTGTTTGGAGTGTCTAAATTCTCACCAAATAAATAGTGAAGACAAGTGTTACATCAACCCACTTCCGATTCCTAGGGAAACTCTAATGGAAACCTGGAATGATCAAGTTCATTGCCTTGAAGAGATCATACAAGTGTATGAAAAAGAGGTAGGTGATTCTATCCGTGTGCAACAAAATCTCCACGAAAGTAAAGAGAAGGTTCAGGAAGAGATCCAAGCCGAATCAGATCGAGTCATTTCTGTCGTAAAAGAAAACACGAAAATACTATTAGAGCGCCTTGACGAAGAATTTAAAGCGGATGAAAAGGTGGCAACCTTGCATCGTGATAAAGCAGAAAGTATCATCGAATCGTGTAAACACTTGTTAAAGATTCGAGAAAATATTATGAAGAATGCAAAAGACATAGAGCTAATCCCTGCTATGGCCACACTAGAGGAACGTGTAAAATACTTTAAGGAGCCAGTTAACTACCTTAGTATTGAAGGAATGTTTCAATTCGTCTCCGCCAACAGTGCAGAGGTTGGAACACTACAAAAGGTAAACTTCAGCTTGATTCACATCAGCATGCTTCCGCAAACTTAAAGACCCCTGTCTGCAAATTTCAAAATCAGTTAATTTTCTTATGATACCCTTGTTGGCCCCTTGCTTTACCACAAAACATTACTTGCTGTCGCGATTAATGGTGGCAGCATATTCGCCTATAAACAGGTAAAAAGATATAGGTAGGATAATAAGTCGATTTCAACGGGCCGCTAGAAATCCCATCATGAATCACTCGTGTGTGTGTTGATTTTTGTTATGCACCTAGTAGTAGTTTGTAGAGTAATTGCGGATAGGCCTGTGTGGATGTGAGGAAATCCCATGCTTCGACGTCGTAAGCCTACATACACACAAAGGGATATTAAATGAAATGCATTCTCACTTGTAATTACAGTAGAACCCCGCCTCTGGGACACCCCAATTCAGGGGATACGCCTATTAATGGGACACTTTTCCGTGAAACGAGGGAAAATATTTTAACACTACATCCAACCCTATTAAAGAGACACCCCTATTTCTGGGACGGGGACACTTTCTGTCTGTGCAATATGGTCAAATACAATTTATCAAATACAATATTAAGGTGACACTATATATTTTGACACCTTTTGAGCAATAAACTTAACATTCATTAATAGTATTCTATCTTTGTGCATCTAATAGAAAGTTAAGTAGTTAATAAAGAATATTTGGTCTTTAACATTGCCCTCGAATTAAAAAAAAAACAATATCGGAAACATAGTAGTTTTAATTTACATAATGATAATTTCATATCTTAAATGAATTATTCTTTGCATTAAAAATTATTGTTATAAATTAGTTATAATTCAACTGTAACATTTCGTGAGACTACACCTACCTCAGCCCCACCATGGTTGAGTCTGAGGTGCGGAAATTTGAGGAAATAGTACCACAGATGACTGGAAATGACACATTTATATGTTTGGTTAGTGTCCCGTGAATAGGGGTACCCCTATTCAGGTGACAGCCTTAAATAAGGGGACACTTTTTGGTTCCCGAATGTGTCCTTAATAGGGGTATCTGGCCTAGACAGTAGTCGCTAAAACTAGGCCCTACCTTGAGCCTTTATTGTCACACACACTGTTGGAACTTGTACTGTAGTTTGCTATCACAAAACGGAAGGTAATTGTTAATTATTAGTACTATAACCACAGCACAGGCGCAGATCTGTTTTGAAAGGTGAGTGGGGTTGGGGAGGGGACATTTCGTGAGACCACACCTACCTCAGCCCCACCATGGTTGAGTCTGAGGTGAGAAAATTTGAACAAATAGTACCACAGATGACCGAAAATGACACATTTATATAGTAAAATTCTGACATCACCGTTATTTCTCATGATTATCAGCGATTTTCGGCAATCAAAGCGATCTAATTAATAATGTGTGATGTACTGTACCGTAAAAAATAAAACCTTAAAAACATTGTCTTTGATGTAAATACTTTACTCTGTCTACTTCAAAGCCGTGAGCCCACGCCCACCATGATTGGGGCTGAGGTGCGAAAATTTGAGGGAATACCTCTATGGCCGGAAATGACACTCTTATATAGTGAAATTCGTCATCATCACATCACCATTGTAGCCTAAATGAAGCACCAACAAATTTATCATGATCTTTTATCAAGATCTAAATAGAATGTGTGGTGTACTTTAGTTGGGGCGGTACAGGATTTGGCGGTAGGGGGTACGTGAGATTTCACCATCACCTTAGCCCCACCGTGGTTGGATCTGAGGTGGAAAATTTTGAGAATATGGACTTCTAGATGCCTGGAAATACTTTAAAAATCCTACTGTGCTATGTTCATAATGATAAAAATACCATACAACAATACAATACAACAGTTATTTTTCTTAATACAATTTAGGGGGTGCAATTGCACCGTATGCACCCCCTAAATCTGTCTCTTATACACATCTAGATGTGTATAAGAGACAGCCTCTGTAATATTTAATTTCAGGGTAGATGGATCTACAACAATAATTCAATTTTAATTTTAAATACAATGATAGGTACGATTAATTGACAAAGAGTGAGGCCTGCACAGTGTGTGCCGACCCAGCTGAGACTCAGGAGTCGGAAAAAAAGTATGTGATCTTATATCAATAGGCCCTATATAGGAATAGGCCTATTATTATATTTTTTTACCTAAAAACACCAATTAAATTTTATAGCTAATACAATAAACCAAATTTATTTGCAAATAGTGTAAAATAATTGTTGATATTTTAAAAAGTATAATAATGACTGATAATTGATTTATTTGAAAGCATTCAGAACTGGATCCGGTGGCTTATACGAGTTCACTCGCATGCCCTTTGGGTTATGCAACGCGCCTGCAACCTTCATGCGGCTAATGGATTTAGTGTTCGGTGACCAAAATTTTCAGACCGTTCTTATCTACCTCGACGATATTCTAGTATTCGGATCGAGCTAGGAGGAAACTTTAGGGCGACTTGATATGGTGTTGCAGCGCCACGTATTCAGGAAGGCTATCGGTCATGATTTCGCAGTTGAATTTTATGCTGCCGCACCTGTAGGATCGATGGTGTTGAGGCTGTCTCTTATACACATCTAGATGTGTATAAGAGACAGGTGTGTGTGTGTGTGTGTGTGTGTGTGTGTGTGTGTGTTACGTCATATAAATACTGTCCGAAACGTTTTTCTGTGCGTGGGTGGGGGATGAACTCTCTAGGAGTTGGAAGGTTATAGTTAATACGCATTTATTATGTGAAATAAAACAAAAATAAAGCGATATGTATCAAACCAAATCATATTTTATTGCAACTTTCTGGAATTGGATTTACATTTTTTTCAAATACATAAAATACATATACAGTAGCAATTTACACACTACTCAATAATCAATCGCAAAATAAACCGTAAAGAAAAAGTTACATGAATAAAAAAGACAATTATTTTATTTAATTAGGTTAATTATTTAATTTATTGCAAAACATCAATCAGTTCACCAATACATGATTAACATTATTTGCTTTAAGCTAATTATTATATTAAGCAATAGTACAACACTATAGGAAAATTATTATACGAAGGGTAGATTTAATGCCTGAAAAAATGTCCTGTCTAAATTTGTTCCTTGAGTCTTTAAAATAGGTCTAGAATATTCCTATTAAACGTTCAGTTTGTTGTGTTTCTGAGAATCCATTGATTCAATAAATTGTTCATACTTAATATTGAATTTGAAGTAAATTTCTTCGGGTTCTAATTAAGCTTGTTTTACGAAAGTAATTTTCAATTACAATTCGTTGTGTAACGTCTCTGAAGTTAGACTTTTTTTGGATTTCTTTGAATGCTTTCTTTTGTAGCGTGTCCCACATCTACTGATTGTTCTTGACTAGCAAATCCCTTGTCGGCTTTGTTGTCTCCGCTAGGTTTGGCAAAAATCGGGTTAACTCACAAGCTGATCTAGGTAAATTTTCGGGGCGGGGTATAAGGGGGTGTCTGGCGTTGGCCATTCCTGACACCTGGAACTACGCCGAACATTTTCAGTAGGTTTGGTCGGGTTAACTCAGAACCTGAACTAGCTTAATTTTGGGGTACCAGTTTTTTGCGTCTGGCAGCCACCCCCACCATTGGAAATGTCTGGAATTGACCATTCCTGATATCTCTATGCCGAATATATTCTGATCGGTTTCATTGGGTTAATTCACAAGGTGATCTAGCTCAATTTTTGGTACCCTTTTATATACCCCTCCTGACCACACCCACCACAATGGGACCGGCAGATGTCCATTTTCTCATATAGACAGGTACACAGACCATTACTACACACACACAAATTGGTTAACTTTCCAGCTATGCTGACACCCCTAGGCTTCTTCTCCATTCGTTTTAGCTTTTAAACATATCTGATCTAGAACCGTTCATGTCGTTGAATAGGGAAGTGTAGCCGAGAGTCATGCTTCAGGAAGGCTTCAGGTACTATACATTTTTTGTTTATTTTCATTAATCGTAATATGCGTATTTTCTATAAAAAAAAAAAAACCACATACAATTTTGGGGAAATTTGCAGACAGTGGGTCTTTAAGGTATTAGACTTGCGTAACCACAAACCGCTGCTGTTCCACTATACAAAAAATGTTAAGTTGTGAAAGACTATGACGTCACTTGTCTAGTGCTGAAGGTAGGATGTTGCAAATTTTCTTGATTAATCCCTGAGTTTTTATTTACGAATACGATAAAATTTGATCGAAGTTTAAGATATATATATATATATATTCATAATAAAGTACAGTATAGAAGCAATATTTTTAAGAATTGTAAAGTGAATTGATATAAACAAACAAATGAACAATCTGATTACTAATCCTTTGGACTGCGTTGTTTGTGGTTTGTGTGTGTGTGTGTGTGTGTGTGTATGTCTATGCGAGACACACTGTTGGGATTGAAAAAAGATGTAATTGTTTAATATATACTTATAACCGTGTAAAAATGTATTTATTCACCTTAGTATAATTATATTTTTGGTTGGTTGTAGAATTCTTAATTGAAAACCAAGTAAAAAATATATACGTATACTGATATACGTATACTACGTTTCGTTCCACTATTATTACTATTGATTTTCGTCAGGCAATGAAACTGGTAGTTAGATGTTGTTGGCGCTATTCAGGCTGCAATAGCGCCCTCTGACAGCTGTCCTGTCAGGAGGTGCGGGTGGGGGTGGATTTTCAGGAGCTAGGATTGGGACATACATGTGATAATGTGTAGCAGTGGCCGATCAAGGATTTAGCAATGGGGGT